AAAAAAAAAAAAAAAAAAAATGGGGCAAGGCATAGTGGCTCACACCTGTAATCCCAACATTTTGGAAGGCCAAGGAAAGAGGATCACTTGAGCACAGAAGTTTGAAAACAGCCGCAGCAACATGGTGAAACACTGTCTCCACCAAAAAAGATACAAACATTAGCTGGGCGTGGTGGCCTGTGCCTGTAGTCCCAGCAACCCAGGGGGCTGAGTTGGGAGGATTGATTGGGCTTGGGGAAGCCAAGGTGCAGTGAGCGGTGATTGTGCCACTGCACTCCAGCCTGGGCAACAGAGTGAGACCTTGTCTCAAAAATAATAATAATAAACAATTTTGCCAAGATTTCTGGAAAGTATTTTCCTACTCTTTTTCTTTTCTTTTCTTTTAGGTGTAGTCTTGCTCTGTCGCCAGGCTGGAGTGCAGTGGTGTGATACCAGCTCACTGCAGCCTCTGCCTCCTGGATTCAAGCAATTCTTCTGCCTCAGCCTCCCAAGAAACTGGGATTACAGGAGCATGCCACCACACTCTACTAATCGTTGTATTTCTGTAGAGATGAGGTTTCACCATATTAGCCCGGCTGAACTCAAACTTCTGACCTCAAGTAATCCACCTGCCTCAACCTTCCAAATTTCTGGGATTTACAGGCATGAGCCACCACACTCAGCCTAATTTTTTAAAAAAATCTTTTGAGCTTTTTTTCTAACATGATACTCATGTATCAAGAATAGATGCTTCATCTAATGAGATTGTATTGTTGGGGCTCAGAAACCGATTCCCCAAAATATGGAGTTTTGACATACTGAACTGAAGAAAAATCCTGAAGGTCTTTCTGAACTTCCTCCTATTCCTGTCTCTCATTTCTCTATCTGAAATCACAAAATGAAGTTGTTCTCTGAAATTCCCTTAGCTCTCTAAAGTATAGACCTGCTAAAGAAGAAAGCAATTACCTCTGGTCCCTTCTCTGAGTCTTCCTTAACTGAAAACTCGTATTGCAAGAAGACTGAAGTCTGTCAACACACTGAGACAAACCTTTGTCACAAACCGTTGTCTGGTCTGTGGGCCAAACAGACTTTGTCCTAGGCTGTTATATGTTATTCAAGTCTATTGAATTCCCCTAAAAATCACTTAATACCCTCTAAAATAATCCACAGTTACCCATCTCCCTTTTCCCTAAGAAAAAGGGTATGTAATCATCTCTATTCTATTGCTTGGGGCATGGGGGGGAGGGGGAGGCAGTAATCACTGATTCTCCCCTATGCACATTAATAAATGTGTATGCTTTTTCTCCTATTAATCTGCCTTTTGTATGTTGATTTTTCACCAAACCTTCAGAGGACAAAGGGGACGTTTTCCTTTGGATTCTACAGTTTCAATAGACAACCAAAAGTAAAAGTTAAGAATTATGTAAATATGCTTCACTCTTTGAACGTATTATTCTTACTTATTCCATTAACATTTATATGTCTTTGCTAACATTATGATAATTTATTGAATAGAATCCTAAATTGGAAATTCCTAGCATAAATCACACATGTGTTAGAAAATATTTTTCAGGTTGGGTTTCTTTAAAGAAGTGTGAGGATTCAAAGGCTCTGGAAAAGCAATCTCAGTGCAGATGCCTTTTTAATCTTTACAGGTATGAGTTTTCTCACAATTTTAAAAATTGATTTAAGCATAACTAGAATATTTCTGGCAATTTAATTATAACACATGTACAGAACACTCACTAAGTATTCACAGTAATATTAAGAGCAATTATTTTTTCCAGTTCATTTTCTTTGATTTACCGGATTTATTTATTTATTTATTTATTTATTTATTTATTTATTTATTTTGAGATAGAGGCTTGCTGTGTTGCCCAGGCTACAGTGCAGTGGCACAATCACGGCTAGGCTCACTGCAACCCGTCTGCGGGTTCAAGCGATTCTCCTGCCTCAGCCTCCTGAGAAGCTGGTATTACAGGCACGTGCCACCATGCCCGGCTAATTTTTGTATTTTTGGTACAGACAGGGTTTCTCCATGTTGGCCAGGCTGGTCTCAAACTCCTGATCTCACTCAAGTGGTCCGCCCGCCTCGGACTCCCAAAGTGCTGGGATTACAGGCGTAAGCCACCGCGCCTGGTCTAACCCTCCACATATTGATTTATGACTTTACCTATAACTTCTGCTTCCCTAAAATGTATAAAACAGTTGCATTCTGACTGCCTCAGAACCACTTTCTCATGGTCTTGGGGGGTTGTCTTCCCTAAGCCACGGTCACTCATACTTGCTAATAATCCTCTAAAATATTTTGGGCTGGGCGCGGAGGCTGACACCTGTGATCCCAACACCTTGGGAAGAGGCAAGTGTATATCACCTAAGGTCAGGAGTTCGAGACCTGTCTGACCAACATGGCGAAACTCCCTATCTACTAAAAATACAAAAATTAGCAAGGCATGGTGCCACACGCCTGTGGTCCCAGCAACTCGGGAGCCTGAGGCAGAAGAATCGCTTGAACCCGGAAGGTGGAGATTTCAGTGAACCGAAATCGTGCCATTGCACTCCAGGCTGGGCAACAGAGTGAGACTCCACCTCAAAAAACAAAACAAAACAAAAAAAAAAAACACATGTATGTGTACATTTATATGTACGAAGCGAGTCCTAAAGGGTACCTAAGGGGAGACAAGCTAACAGCGAACTGGCTCTTTCTTGAGAAACGTGGACGGCTCTGAAAAGAGCCTTTGGAGTGTAGGTCAGAGCGGACCTATAACTGCAGCGAGGGGCTCACTTGGAGCTGGTATACTTGGTGACGGCCTTGGTGCCCTCGGACACGGCATGCTTGGCCAACTCCCCGGGCAGCAGTAGGCGCACGGCCGTCTGAATCTCCCTCGAAGTGATGGTCGAGCGCTTGTTATAATGCGCCAGGCGTGACGCTTCTCCGGCGATACGCTCGAAGATGTCGTTGACAAAGGAGTTCATAATCCCCATAGCCTTGGAGGAAATGCCGGTGTCGGGGTGGACTTGCTTCAGCACTTTGTACACGTACACGGAGTAGCTTTCCTTGCGGCCGCGTTTCCGCTTCTTTCCATCCTTCTTCTGAGCCTTGTTAATGGCCTTCTTGGAGCCCTTTTTAGGGGCTGAAGCAGATTTTAGTGGTTCAGGCATGGTGAAAAACGGAAGACAACAATCCTAGGGCTGTTTCGTCCTATTTATTTAAACGCTATTATGCAAATTAGGAGTAGAATAGGTCACTGCTTATTGGTGATTATCCTTGGATGACGTCAGATGCCAGTTTTGCCCAATCAAAATAGGTATCCTGCATAATTGAGTCCTATTGGTCTAAATAAAAATAAAACGTTAGCCAATCGAACAGCTTCCTTTTCGCGCCCAGTAGAGGCTATAAAAACTGCGTTTTTCTACTTTCGTCTGTCCTTTTTAACTGTATAGATACAGGCCTTTTGCCATGTCTGGGCGTGGTAAGCAGGGAGGCAAAGCTCGCGCCAAGGCCAAGACCCGCTCTTCTCGGGCCGGGCTTCAGTTTCCCGTGGGCCGAGTGCACCGCCTGCTCCGCAAGGGCAACTATGCCGAGCGGGTCGGGGCTGGGGCACCCGTGTACCTGGCTGCGGTGCTGGAGTACCTGACCGCCGAGATCCTGGAGCTGGCTGGCAACGCGGCCCGCGACAACAAGAAGACTCGCATCATCCCGCGTCACCTCCAGCTGGCCATCCGCAACGACGAGGAGCTCAACAAACTGCTGGGCAAAGTCACCATCGCACAGGGTGGTGTTCTGCCCAACATCCAGGCCGTGCTGCTGCCAAAGAAGACCGAGAGCCACCACAAGACTAAGTAAAGACCGAGTTGAGAAGCGTATAGAAACAAAGGCTCTTTTCAGAGCCACTTTAATAATCATGAAAAGATGACACGAGTCCGTTTTCAGCTGCTTCACCACTCGACAACACACTCATGACGTTTCGGTTTTAATTTTAACCTCTCTGTGTACGTTGCCAGAATTTTAAGATTTTTTTTAAGTCCTTAATGTAGGTATTAACAAGGTACCTTTGCTAACACCTATTTTCAGGGGTTTTGCCTTGGTGGCCAGGTTGGTCTCAGACACATGACCTCAGGTAATCCACCCCCCTAGGCCTCCCAAAGTGCTGGGATTAACAGGCGTGAGCCACTGTGCCAGGCCAGTTTGTACTATCTTAAAGGCATTTTACTGGGACACAACTTTGACAAAAATCAGCATCTTACTGGGAGTTACATAGTAGATACTGGTGGGATTTTATTTATGATTCTGGGAAACTGGACTGTAAGGAATGTAGTATAGTATTCAGTTTTTAATATGCTTACTAGGAAAAGTATATGGATTGCTACTAGACATATTTCTCTAGAGTTTCATAGTCTCTAGATTGAAAACGGTAGAGTTCTCAGCCCCATTTCCTGGCCTCTAGGAAAGGAGCTACTTGATGGGTATGTTTAAACAAAAACATGAAGTTTTATGTTTACCAATGTATACATTTGTCATGTTTTATTTTGTTTTCTATTTTTAATTTTTGCACTTACAAGAGTTTGGAATAAAAAAAGAAAATTGGCCTTAGAAGCCTTCCAATTAAGGGTCTTTCAAACATACACATATTCTGTAGTGACCCAATAATTACATGTACATATGTTAGGGTACTGCTGAAATAACATGTTAAAAAATAATAGTTAACTTCATTGTATGTGCTCTGATATTTTTGTTTAATTCTGTATGTAATTAACCTTTTCGTACCTGAGTGTTATGTTACAAACGTATCCTGTAAACACTGCTACAATTAGTAAATGAGTTAAATACTTAGTAACTGCCGGATAAGTTGATGGTCAAGCATAGTAGTCCAAGGTGGTGATGACTGACAGTAAGGATGGTTCTGAATACTTAAGTTGATTCCAAGAGCACTAATGGGTGAATACCTACACTCAGAAAAAATATCTCTTCTGAGAAAAGCCAAAGGCTATTTTGAGAATAGTGAGGTCAGTTCCTCATGTTATCTTTTTTTTTTTTTTTTTTTTTTAAGACAGGGTCTCGCTTTGTCACCCAGGCCAGAGGACAGTGATACGATCTCGGTTCATTGCAACCTTCGACTTCTGGGCACAAGCGATTCTCCCACCGCAGCCTCCTGAGTATCTGGGACTACAGGCGCACACCACCACGCCCGACTAATTTTTTTATTTTTTGGAGATATGGGGTTTCGCCACATTGCCCAGGCTGGTTTTCAACTCCCGGACTCAAGCGATCCACCCACCTCGGCCTCCCAAAGTGCTTGGATTACAGGCATGAGCCACCGCACCCGGCCTGTTGTCCATATTACTGTATGGGCATGTCAAGGTCCTTTTATTTTGGGCCTTGAAAAGGATTGTTATGCCACTTATGAGTTTTGCCATCTCAGGAAATTCAGACACAAGAATTATGTCCTTTTTTAAATTTATTTTTTATTTGTTTGTTTTGCGTTTTTGAGATGGAGTCTCCCTATGTCGCCCAGGCTGGACTGCAGTGGCGCGATCTCGGCTTATAGCGACCTCTACCTCCCGAGTTCAAGAGATTCTCTTGCCTCAGCCTCCCAGTAGCTGGGACTACAGGCACATGCCACCACACCTCGCTAAATTTTTTGTATTTTTAGTAAAGACGGGGTTTTACCATGTTGGTCAGGCTGGTCACGACCTCCTGACAAACGAGCTTAGTTGGATGGTTACCAGACTATTGTAATTCAGTGCATGGAGTGTTTTGAAAAGACATAGAGTATTCATTTCCACATAACTAGAACTACTCACTGTCCCCTGAATAAATAATTCCTCATGTAATCATACCTGGAAATTTAACTGGGAGTATATTGGCTGCATATCTCCAGGAAAGGATGCTCTACCCAGCCAGCAAGAGTATTGATTAGTGAGCCCTTCCTGATTTATTACTAGCTGTTAGTTTCCCAGCACAGAAAGAAGGAATTCACTACTTACACACTCAACAATACCCATCGGTTTAGCAGTTGGCCCCACTTAAGTGTCCCAGAGGCATTGCTTCTCTCCAAAATAGTGTATCTTCCTTTCCAGAAGAAAGCTAATTTCTGAGAGGGGAACACTCTATTTTGTTTGCTTAGGGTGTTGATTCCAATTAAAAGTATTAAAGCATTATTTTAATTTGTAAAATATTAATCATAACTTATCGTTCTAAATTCCATATATGTGGAAATAATGAAATCATGAACCCACATACAAGAAGATGTGGATGAGCAGATGGTGAATGTTGCAGTAGTGATCTTGATATTGAATTTCCAAAAAAGTGTATTAAGAATGTAACCAATTCTAATAACTGAAGGTACATAAATAGCCAACGGAAACAAGAGAGTTAAAACTGCTTTTTAAAACTCAGTGTAAAAATACTATGATCTTTCCACTTACATCCTTCACAAGCTAAGCTAAGGAGAGACAGAGATGATAACACACATACACAAGCCAACTTGCCAGGGAAACTCTTGAATACTTGTAAGAATGCTAGAGAGCTCACAGAAGAAAAGTTATAGAAATCTAGCATTCTAAATACAAGAATGGATGAGGTAAGGGCTTTCATGGCCCACAAGAAGCTGATTTCCGCACATCTAGCAAGCTGATGTATTTCTTTCATTTGAGATTTTCCATGTGGTTATCTTTCCTTACTATTATATAGCCATGCATTCATTCATTTATCCAACAAATACTGATCAAAAGCTCCTATATTACTGGAGATATGCCAGTAAACAAAAGTTCCTCCTCTCATGAGCCCATATTTTAGAACACACAGGCAATACATCAACAAACTATCGTACAGTATATAGTGACAAATTCTAGGGTGAAAAAATTAGGTGGGGATTATACAGATTTTATTTAGTCATACAAAGCCTTAATGAGAAGGTAACATTTAAGTAAGACTCAAGTATTTTATCCTGTGCTCAAAAAAATTACCACAGAATTCCCTACAAGGCAGTCTTAATTTTGGATACTCCTGACAGTTCAAAGTTTTAGCCACTGTCAGAAGTCAGATAAAACACTTTCTCTCATACACATATTTTTATATGGGGCTTCAAAGGGAATTTTCTCTGGCGGGCTTTCTCCAGACGACTTTTAATCCCCAAACCACCTGTCATTAACTACACTTAAGAGATTTAAGCAGGCCCAAAATTCGACTTGAAAATTTCAAAAACACTGCTTAGGAAACGGGGGGCGGGGGAGGGGAATGTTTTCACTTTAGCCAGCATGAGCTACATTACCCTGAATTTTTCCAACTTCAATTCAACCTTAGTTTTATTCTTGGCGTGTTGGCAAGGAATATACACACTACAGTATAGGTTGGCAGAAAATTAGAACCACCATACGGTCAAAACTGGGCTGCGGAGATGGGCGGGTAACACACAAAGGAACTTTTGGCTACACCCAATGCTTGCGGAAAGCTCCCAGATTATTAAATCTTAAGATTTACAAAACTAACATTTTAACAGGGATAGGCTGAACCTTACAAAACAGATTGTATAACGTCTGGAAATGGACCCTATCTGCTATAGGCAAAACAAAGTACCAGGAAGAATTCCTCAGAGAAACAGATCTTTTCAGCGCCCAAGTGGGTGGCTCTGAAAAGAGCCTTTGGGTATATAATCTGAGTCCTTGAGACTCAAGCCCTTTCGCCGCGGATACGACGTGCGAGCTGGATATCCTTGGGCATGATAGTCACCCTCTTGGCGTGGATGGCGCACAGGTTGGTGTCCTCAAAGAGCCCCACCAGGTAGGCCTCGCATGCCTCTTGCAGCGCCATCACCGCCGAGCTCTGAAAGCGCAGGTCGGTCTTAAAGTCCTGCGCGATCTCTCGCACCAGCCGCTGAAAAGGCAACTTTCTGATCAGCAGCTCGGTGGACTTCTGGTAGCGGCGGATCTCGCGGAGAGCCACTGTACCAGGCCGGTAGCGATGGGGCTTCTTGACGCCGCCGGTGGCCGGAGCGCTCTTCCGAGCCGCCTTCGTAGCCAGCTGCTTGCGCGGAGCCTTGCCGCCGGTGGACTTACGAGCAGTCTGCTTCGTACGCGCCATTCTTTCAGAACTAGATGCAGTTAAGGGCAAAGAGAAAGCTAGCCGCTTCTTTATAGTGAGAGTCTAAAGCTGATTGGACAAAAAGTATGCTGAAGGCCTACCCAACAGTAACCGGATTGGCCAATGACTCAAATTTTTGTTGTCCACCAATTCCTCTGACAGTCTTAGCAGTTCATGGCCTCCATATTTTATTTTCTATTTTCGCTTTACAGTTGTTCACTATACCAGTGATTTCCAGTGGAAATAAATGAGAGCAATATAAGTAATTTACATTTAGGAGCAACATTAGAACAAAGCAAGAAAAGATTAACTTTTAATATTTTGCTTAATCAAATATAGCCAACATATTTCAGTATGTTATCAAAATTAAAATTGTTAGGTATTTTACACTTTTTGGCACTAACTTTTCCAAATGCAATGTGTATTTTATATAAAATTCATGCTATGGAATTTCCAATGATCACTCTACAATTGACTAGTGGCTACAATACTGGACAAGACAGCCATATACACCTCTCCCCTCAATTGTCTATTTTTTGATCACTTAAATTTTAAAAACTTTTGTATTTTTTTAACCAAGAAAAGCTGATTCGCATGTGAGAAATTCAAGGCCTAAAAATGTCAAAGAAACAACCTTATGTGAGCTTTTTCGCGTTCAGATTAAAGTAATTCCATTACAGCTTAACTTATTTTTCCAATACTCTAGAAACGTAATTCATTTTCTCTTAAGTATCTATTCCATTTGTACATCCAGATCTGATTTATTAAATCAGATTAAAAACATCAAGTCAGATATTTTAAAAGTGGAATTTACCATGCTGAAACAAATTAATAGTCATCTCTCTACTAAGAAATCAATTTGTGTGGCTGGGGGTGAGAAAGCTCGAGAAATTTTAATTTCAATGAATTTTCAGAAAATGCTTCAAAGACAACTACCTGGCACCATAATTAACTGTTCTAATTAATCTAATTAGAAATTATTCTCTCAACTCAATCATTAATGTTCAAGTGCAATCTAATTATTCTGATTCGAGAGATCTTTCTCAGAAATAAAGAATCCAAGCCGTTGATCTAGATTTAGACTAAACGTCGAATGCTCGGTTTGTCATTTACCAAGACCAAGAATGCATTTGGCCCCAAAGCAGTCATGTTTGCTTCCAACAATCTAAAAATGGTGGAGTGTCAGTAAAACCCAACAGTGAACCATATAGAATAATAAACTTGGACAATGCCAAATTAAGAAAAACCAAATCTTCTTGTGTTAAGCTTAAGATGAAGGCGGTTTAATACTTTTAACGTTATCCAGGCTTTTTAAAAAGCTAATGAGATTGCCACTACCTAACCAAGTCACCGAAGACTGATGTACGTTAACCTTTGGAGTGGTTTACTAGTAGGCGAAGACGAGAAATCATATTAAAAGTAGTGCTCAGTTCTTCCACAAAATTGTAGGTGGCTCTGAAAAGAGCCTTTGGTTCCGTTGGGATTGAGTTGCTGCAAACTAATCCAGCGTTCTACTTGCCCTTCGCCTTGTGGTGGCTCTCGGTCTTCTTTGGCAGCAGCACGGCCTGGATGTTGGGCAGAACACCACCCTGTGCGATGGTGACTTTGCCCAGCAGTTTGTTGAGCTCCTCGTCGTTGCGGATGGCCAGCTGGAGGTGACGCGGGATGATGCGAGTCTTCTTGTTGTCGCGGGCCGCGTTGCCAGCCAGCTCCAGGATCTCGGCGGTCAGGTACTCCAGCACCGCAGCCAGGTACACGGGTGCCCCAGCCCCGACCCGCTCGGCATAGTTGCCCTTGCGGAGCAGGCGGTGCACTCGGCCCACGGGAAACTGAAGCCCGGCCCGAGAAGAGCGGGTCTTGGCCTTGGCGCGAGCTTTGCCTCCCTGCTTACCACGCCCAGACATGGCAAAAGGCCTGTATCTGTACAGTTCGAAAGGACAGACGAAAGTAGAAAAACGCAGTTTTTATAGCCTCTACTGGGCGCGAAAAGGAAGCTGTTCGATTGGCTAACGTTTTATTTTTATTTAGACCAATAGGACTCAATTATGCAGGATACCTATTTTGATTGGGCAAAACTGGCATCTGACGTCATCCAAGGATAATCACCAATCAGCAGAGACCTTCCCCCTACCTCGTCCACATAAACTATTATATAAAAAGAGGAGACCAAATTCTTGTTTTCTTTTTACCAGTATTATTTCATCATGCCCGAGCCGGCCAAGTCTGCTCCCGCCCCGAAGAAGGGCTCCAAGAAAGCGGTGACCAAGGCCCAGAAGAAGGATGGCAAGAAGCGCAAGCGCAGCCGCAAGGAGAGCTACTCCGTGTACGTGTACAAGGTGCTGAAGCAGGTCCACCCCGACACCGGCATCTCTTCTAAGGCCATGGGGATCATGAACTCCTTCGTCAACGACATCTTCGAGCGCATCGCGAGCGAGGCTTCCCGCCTGGCGCATTACAACAAGCGCTCTACTATCACCTCTAGGGAGATTCAGACCGCCGTGCGCCTGCTGCTTCCGGGGGAGCTAGCCAAGCACGCGGTGTCGGAGGGCACCAAGGCCGTCACCAAGTACACCAGCTCCAAGTAAATTCTCAAGCTCTTTGTCAAACCCAAAGGCTCTTTTCAGAGCCACTCACTATTATCTAAAGAAGAGCTGATTCGCTCTTCCGAACGCTGAGGGCGAGGGATCATAAATCATTTTGTTGGTCTATCTGCTAAATTAATTAAGCTCTTTGAAAGCCTTTTCAAGTGAAATATACACGAGGTACGTGCATATAGCTGCCAACACCATAGAGGGTCCGACCTTGGCCCTTGAGGGCATAAACTAGGTCCTTAGCAGTGTCTTGCGTTTTGCTTGTTCCGTGTAAGTCAAGCGCACCCGGGATCACGTTATCCGGAAATGCCTTGAGTATCCACGGGTTTCTAAAAAGATGAGACCAGTGAAGCGTTTGACACCGCCCGGCCAGGCGGTGGGTTTGGGATACCTGGATGTTGGCGCAGCAACTGCGGTGGCGCCCGCTTTACCCAATCCCTTCCCACAGTTGCGCAACCAGACATGATTTTAAGGCCGGACAAAAGACCCAAGGTAAAAGCCAAAAACAGCACTAGGGAAACAAGGCTGGCCTTTTTAATCATTCAGACTAAATTGGAAACTACAGGGCTGGGTGCGGTAGGCTTTTGCCTGTAGACTAAGCACTTTGGGAGGTGGAGGCGTGCTGATTGCTTGAGCCCAGGAGTTCGCAACCAGCTTCGGCAACATAGCAAAACCCCGGCTCTGCAAAAAGTAGAAAAATTAGCCAGGAGCGGTGGCGCGCCCCTGTTGTCCCAGCTACTTAGGGGGCTAATGTGGGAGGATGGCTTGAGCCTGGTAGTTGGAGGTTGCAGTGAGCTGAGATCCGCATCACTGCACTCTAGCCTGGGCAATAAAGCCAGGTCTTGTCTCAAAAAAATAAATAAATAAATAAAAAGTGATCAGTGAAAGTTAACACCTTGCCTTCTCCTAATTGTCAATACCTGCTAGCAAAAGATGCCAAAGTAGATTTTTTAAAGTTTTTCTTGCTGTCACCCAAACCCAACTGTTTTTCGTATACTATTTGCCATCAAATTTACTAACATTTTTTAAGCATCTGCTATTCACCATGGGCCGGTCATAGTATTCTGCTATAGGTATGGGAAATCCTGAATAAGTCTCCCAGACCTTAATTCTCAATCACTGCTGGTGGCCCCACAAATTGGTAGTGCTTTCATAAAGGAAAATTTGGTAATACCTGTCAAAATTTTTAAAATGAATCTATCTTTGCATCAGAAATTTCACCCCTAGGAATTCACTATTTTTGAAAATATGCAAAATAACATATACAGGGGTTTTCAGCAGTACTGTTTGTAGTATAAGACTAGAAGCAATTTGACTGATTAGCAATAAATTACAGTACATCATTCTATCTAGTAAAAAATAAGAAGGCTCTTTTTGTAATTATTTACTGCTTATTATGTGCCAGATAATGTCCTAAAAAGCTCTCTACATACATTAAATCATTTAGCTTTCATAACAACTTTATGATAAATTACTATTTTTATACCTGTTTTACAGATCATAAAATGGGGATTCAGAGAGCTTGACTAAATTGCCTAAAGTGTGAAATTGTACAATGGGAAAGTTGTCAATCAAAATGAAATCACTAATGTTAAGAAAATCCTGACACACAGAACCAAGAAAGGCCATAAAAAGAAGGTTCTCATGCTTGTATGCCTAATAACAAAAACTATCACAAAAGACGGTAAGAGCCACAACCATAAACACAGGCCATGAAAACCTTACACAAAAAAATACTTCTACAAGACCATTTGCCCAACAACTGCCTTCCCAACTTTAAACTGGCGTCGCTCTTGTTATTGTAACCCTCCTCGTTTTTTTCTTTAAAAACCTTTGTCTTCCTTTACCTCCCTGAATACACATATACTTTATAGCATATGGATTCCCATTACAATGCTTTATTCCCAAATAAATAGATTTTTCTTTAGAGAGCCTCTATGTTTGTTACTTAGGTTGGTAACAGGTGATAAGTAGTGAAAACATGATTCAAAACCAGAGTCTGGTTTCAGAATCCCTATTTATAACTGTAGCAGGACCAGCCACAGACAAAACCTCTCAGACACTGAGTTGTAGAAGGAAGGGCTTTATTCAGCTAGGAGCATCAGGAAGCTACTGCCTTAAAATCTGAGCTCCCTGAGTGCACAATTTCTGTCCCTTTTAAGGGCTCACAACACTAAAGATTTCATATGAAAGGGTCGTGATTGATTGAGCAATCTAGGGGGTACGTGACAAGGGTTTCACGCACTGATAGTTAGAGAGAAACAGAACAGGGCAAGGAGTTTCACAATGTTCTTCTATACAATGTCTAGAATCTATGAATAACATCGGTTTGTAAGTTATGAGTTGATTTTTAACTATTAGGTTTAGGCCAGACAGACCCAGGCCCTGTTTTAGGCCTGGCGCCGGGCTGCCTGTCTTTGGTTTCACTTCCTTGTTTTTTTCTTAAATCAGGTACTGAGTGTGAAACAATATAAAACAATATAAGAAGGTCTTTCTCTTTTCTCATAACCAGTGTATACTATACGGCTTCTCCAGGTACTAATAATGGGATGATCTCCAAAATTTGCTGTAAAATGCAAAAAAAAAGCAAGATACAGGATAATGTGCAGTAGAATTTTGTGTGTGTTTGTGTGTGTGTATAAATGTAAAATATTTTTGGAAGGATACTGGATAAATTGCTAACAGTGGTGGCCTCTGAGGAAAGAGAAAGTTGGATGTCCTAGAGACAGGGATGGATGGATGATCTTTTCATTGTAACCCTTTTATGGTCTTTGAATTTTGAATCCTATGTATGTATTGTCCACCCATAAAAAAAAATAGTGTAAAGAATCACTTCATTTGATTATCAGTAAAACACACATTATAAGATGATAAATGCTACAGTAAAGATATGAATAAAAAGCCTAAGGAGCACAGAATAAATAATATTACGGGTGGGAGTGGGAAGAGTGCCAAATAGCATTCTAGGCAATAAGAAAATGGGTGTCACCTTCAAAATAGCAGAAATATTGTGGTGTGGCTAAAGTCAGGGGTAGGCAGAAGGGAGTACCCATGGGCCTGGGCAAGTAGTCTGTGACTATGCTACACCAGTGGCCTCCTGTATCATGGCAGGCTTCTCAAAATGAGGACTTCAAGATAAAACAACTAGATATAACCTGATAAGGACTTACTAAGTGAGATTCTGAAATACTATACACACAATTCCAGATGCCAATTTAACACTATTTATATAAATGTTGTTTAAATGAGCACACTCTAAAGTTATTTGCTAATCCAGCAGTCATAGTTTTCTTTGTTGGTCAGACCATGTGGGACAAAAAGCAAAAGAAATTACTATTAGTACCTTTTAGACTCTTACAAGTATTTATCACCAGTTAAAACGGGAAATGTCAAATAGAGCATCGTTTTTTGTGGTTGTTGTGTTTTTGTTCTGTTTTTTTGAGATGGAGTCTCACTCTTGTTGTCTAGGCTGGAGTGCAATGGAGTGATCTGGGCTCACTGCAAGCTCCGCCTCCTGGGTTCAAGCAATTCTCCTGCCTCAGCCTCCTGAGTAGCTGGGATTACAGGCAGGCGCCACCATGCCCAGTTAATTTTTGTACTTTTAGTAGAGACAGGGTTTCGTCATGTTGGCCAGGCTGGTCTTGAACTCCTGACCTCAGGTGATCTGCCTGCCTCAGCCTCCCAAAGTGCTGGGATTACAGGTGTAAGCCACCGTGCCCAGCCCAAATAGAGCATTGTTACCATCACAACATATAACTAAATAAGCTAATGAATCAAAATTGCACACTGAATGGATATGTATCTATGGGATATTCAACAGTGTCTGATATTGGACAAACCCTTTTCAAGTGATGCTCTGCAATTATATTAACTTAGAACAAACTATTTGGTGGCAGTTTTGGATACTGGTACCACTATGATCTGAATGGTTACCTCTAAATATTTATGTTGAAAACAAAAACAAAAAAAACAAATAGTTATGTTGAAGCATAATCCCCAATGTGGTGGTATGAAGATGTGGGGCCTTTGGGAGGTGAATAGGTCGTAAAGATGTTGTCCTCATGAATGGGATTAGTACCCCTATAAAAGAGGGAGCTTGTTCACCCCCTATACCATATGAAGTTGCAAGAAGACGCTATCTATGAAGCAGAGAGTGAGCCTCATTAGACCTAGAATATGGTGTCTCCTTGATCTTAGACTTCCTAGCCTTTAGAACTGTAAGAAGTAAATTCCTGTTACTTGTTAGTCACCTAGTTTAGTATATTTCGTTACAGTGGCCCAAACAAACTAAGATGCAAAACCCCATATTGAACAGGAAAGAGAAAATCTAACACATCAGATCACATCCTTTGACTATCTTTGTGAAGAGACCATGCCCTTACTTTTTTTTGTTTTGTTTTGTTTTTGTTTTTTTGGTGAATGATTTTGTTCATTAGGATTTTACAGGGCCAAGCGCGGTGGCTCACGCCTGTAATCCCAGCACTTTGGGAGGCCAAGGCGGGCAGATCACCTGAGGTTGTGAGTCTGAAACCAGCCTGACCACATGGGGAAACCTCGTCTCTACTTAAAACACAAAATTATGTGGGCATAGTGGTGCATGCCTGCAATTCCAGCTAGTCGGGAGGCTGAGTCAGGAGAATCACTTGAACCCGGGAGGTGGAGGTTGCAGTGAGCCTAGATTGAGCTACTGTACTCTAGCCTGGGCGACAGTGCTAGATCCTGTCTCAAAAAAAAAAAAAAAAAAAAATTTTTTTTTGGCAAGGCTATGTTCTGAAATTTTATTAGTAGGTATTAAATTATAAGAAACAGTAGGCCTGAATGGATATTTGACATGAGGAAATAGAAAAAGACTGGAAGAGGATTTTATTTCATAACAGGAGAATAAGAGAGCATACATATCCTTCAACAGGGTTTTATTGTCTACCCTCTAGGCGATCCTTCTCTCAAATGAACATTTTGGTATATTGTCAGGAATAAGGGTATTTTTTTGTTTTTGTTATTTTCATGTTTAACATAGGTACAGTCCTCAACTTCTTTCACAAAAGCTTTCTTCTAAATTGATTTTTTTTTTCATTACAACCTCACGTTCCCCTGTAAGAACTTAC